CAAGAAAATGTAAAATAAAAACAAACATATTTGACTCAATAAAGGCAATTACATATTCATTTTTGAATATTCCAAAATGAAATAATTATAATCAACATTGAGACTTATTTAAATGCCAACTTTGTGTTTAATATATGTTGTGACGTAAGTTGTGATGGCTGTGATGCAAATTAAAACGATATTAACAATGTTTTAAGAAATAGTAAAACACTGAATAAGAATAACATTTTTAGAAAATATTACATTTCTTTTCTTAATGTCATAGTCGTGGTGAAATAATTAAGTGTTAAGTGACACAACATTTAAAAATTGTACAACTATTATTTGAGTTGGTTATCATACAATAAATGAAAGGTGTAACGTGTGATGCCAAGTATGGTTTGATAATGATATGTGTGGCATTTTAATGTGGTTTTAAAAAGGAATTTAATAACGTAAGTATTATTGAGATTATTATTATTTAACAAATAAATCGCGTTCACCTTTTGAAAAGCTAATAACAAAAATGTTAAAAATACTTGTATCTCATGTGTGAATAAATAATACTGCTATTTCTGTATTAATGAGACATTGTATTTAATATGTATTATACGTAAAAATGGCAGCTATTAAATATAAACGCAAACGAAAAGTTCGGATATTATAAAAAAATTTTTGAAACGTTTAAAAAAGGAAATTATTAAAGATATAAAAAGTAAAAATAACAGACGATTTGTGACCACTTATTCGTGTTTTTATTATATTATCATCAATTTTCAAACTGTCTCCTGTGTAATAAACAGTACATATACTACACATGTATTTGTATATTGTTATTATTTATGAGTTACTCAAAAAGTGTATTTTGGTGTACAAATTATATGAATAAAACTGATCTCAATTATCTACCACGTAAAAAATGATTGTTTTCCAACCAATATAATTTGATGTGTTTTTTGTGTTATATGACAATAACTTTATTGTAATCGTATTACACAAACAAACAATTATTATTATTATAAAAATCAATTTCCTAAAATAATGTTGGGATGTTTATTTTAATGTTTCAATTTCAAACATTACTGATGTCAACAACACAGAGTCTATATGTTCGACCATCATAAGATTGATACAGTGGTTGTATTGTGTTTATGTGCGTAAAACGAAAATAAGGCGTATCTTTCTATAAATATTGTCATTTTGAAGTGGATACAGGTGAGGTACTAACCTGTCAACCAGAACTAACCTGTCAGCCATTTTCCTTTAGGAAGCCTAAAACCCGGATTAGTACGTTTTTTATGGCATTTGTTTTTTGAGATTTCATCTCAAAAATGAAACCTGTCAGCTTTTTTGGTATTTTTGGTATTTTTGGGTTTTGTAAAAAAGTAAAACTAAAAAAAACGATGAGAATAAAAGACATCTTAATTGTGATGTTCTTCA